TAATATAAATATCAATTTTAAATTTATATATGTACATCTTCTACATACATCAAAATATTCTAATTTTCTTATCTCTCTCCCCACATAAATAATACATCATACGCATGTCAGCTCAGAGGTCGTATTTAAATTTCGTTTAGATTTTTGATAAATTAATTCAAATTAATTGCCAGCTTGACCTTAGCCAAACGTCAAATGTTAAGCTGAGATCAAGATCTTAATAAATTGAACTGTAGTTCGTTTCGGCCGTACTTAGTTTCAGCTTCAACTCGAGTTTCATTTACTTTTGCCTACCTTATCCAGTTGGCTGCGTCGCTCGATCATCTTTGTGTTGCTATTTGCGCAAAGTATTTATATGATTATCTTCGATTCTTTGTAGTTGTTCACAGAACTTCACTTAATATTGACTTGAGTAATTTCCGTTTGAATGCGAATGAAACTTCTTAACACACTCAACGCGCTGCTCGTTTGGCTTAGATCTGTGGCGTTATCAATCGAATTGATGTGCCAAAATGCTCGAACTCCCACACGTACGACCGCTTCGGCTAGTATGAAATTCGCAACTGAGTATTCGAGAGCCTCTTACGGGTACTCAAATAAGCCTGGCCAACGTCAAAGCCGGCAAAGCACATAGCAAACAGAGACGAAGCGACTCTCGCTTGGCGGGTTTTCGATTTCAGTTTCGCACTCGACGTAGTCTAACACGTTTTTATTTTATTTTTATTGTGTGAGGGGGGAGAGCGAGAGAGAGAGAGAGCGCGAGAGTGCTGGCATTTGTGTACAGAGTACACAGAGCGCTGCAGCTGTCTGAGCGCTGAGCGCGTCTCTCAGCTGTTTTAGCTAGCCAAGAAGCCGTGAGACACTTGGCCTGTGCGCGTGCGCAGTTGGCTCTACAGTTGCCTTTTCGCAACCATTTCGCACTGTGTACTCAACTAGCCAGCTGTGACTTTAAGTGTGAATAAGTTGAGGCGTGCTTGTAGCGAGACTGACAGACTAGCAGATGCCCTACATGGTGTGTGATTAAAGTGATTAAAAGTTCAATGTCTTTTTTTATTATATATATTCTGGTATTAATAGAAGCAGTTTGTATATAAATATTTAGCAAATTAGAAACAGAAAACGGTATACTGAGGTGTGCAAAAATAATTAACTGGTATAATATTAAATTAAATTGTTTTATAAAAAATTTAATTTGGATTTTT